ATTGGATGAAAGACTTACAGAAGGGTGGAGACATTGCTGGCAACGCTTCAGATTTTATCTGGTTGCCAATTGAGGATTATTCTACTGCCAATGATTTCGAAATCATTAAAATCTTCAGAATTTATTAGATTACGAGGCAATATATACATACTGCAACTACCTTTCTTTGCCTAGGGCATCGCAAACTTACAAGCAAAGTTATTTGTTTTTTATCATCAAATTAAATTTAGCAAATTTTCGTAGTAAAGCAATAGATTTATTGAAGCATGGTTTGATATTTTTTCAAATTTTTCATTTCTACCATTCACACTTAATTACTAAGCCATACAAGAGAGATACAATAGATTATTTTCATGTGCTATTCTCTTTTGTTGCTTCGATATTTAGGGCATGAAAAAGAAAAACAACACAAACAATGGACGATATATCAGAGAAATATTATTTGTTTTTAATTTTTAATAAAGAGAAAAACTTACTTTTCTTCAGAGGTTGTTCAGTTACTCTCGATCACTGTTGAATGAAATTAGAAGAATGCAGGTTTTTAATTAAGCTGTATTGCAGCATCTATTTTAAACACAAACAGAGATCTCTAGTGAGAAATTTACTCAAATCTGTTGAGATCTTAGAATAATCTTCTTATTAAGATTGTGAGACCCAAAAATTTTAAGATTTGATAAGATTCTGTTAAGATCTTGGTAAGATATAGGTCATACTTTGTCCAAGATTTTTTCAAGATTGGCTGAGAATCTACACTCAGAAAAAATAAGTATGCAAATTCATCCAAAATGGTGTGCAAACAGTAACAAGTATTACATTTTTCAATAACATTGATTCGTCATTAACTAACAGTGTTTGAATATCTGGTCTACACTCTTGTGATAAAATTTGAACAAGTTTGAAGAATGAAGCAAACTTCATACCTTTGGACGTCCATTTTTCGACCTTGACTTGTCCTGTACATTCTCCGAAAAGTTGTTGGACATTTTCGAGAGAGTAAGTACGAGCAAAATCTGGAAGAAAGATAACAATGTAAAATTCAGTTATGTTTACGCCACTGTTTATATAGATGAAAAAAAAAGAATGAATGAAAATAGAAGCATCAAATCTTATTCAGATCTTAGATTATCTTGTCAAGATATCTTAAAAGGTGGAAGAAGTGCCTAAGATTTTTACTAGGAATGGAATATTCGATTGAGTTTTTGTGGAATGTGCTAATTCATTTCTTGTACTTTTAAGAACTATTGACTATACAACAAATCTCTCGTTATTTTTATTTTTAGTATAAAAAGTCACAAATAAGCTAGCTAAATTGATTAGATCACTGTTGCAGTTTGAATCAATGCAGACATAGTTTCCACGAAGTATCTAGCTTCTTTTCATCTAACAATTTTATCTGTCTATTTTTCCATTATTTCATTTGTAATTTTTGAACCATTATGAAATGTATCATCATCACCAAAATCAAGATCATACATTTTTGTTTTCTCATTCATCAATGACTTAGTTATAATCGACGGCGGAGTAGTCTTAATCAAATTGGAAGAAATAACTTTTCTATCAAATAATGTTAATAAAATTATAGTCGATAAGACCAGACTTAAACATCGTCTACTATGTTTTTTTGCTCTTTCGTACGACAAAATTCCAAAATTAATAAATTAATTTTCTTTACGTAAATTCTGTTTCGTTTATATAAAAAGTATTTTCAACTATAATGAATAACGTATTTGATATCAGTTCATCAAATCACACCGAATCATACAGGAAAAACAAGATTTTTGACAAAAAAATACCTGTTGGTATAAAACTTTTGTCTGTTGGGCGGGGGTAAGGTTTTGCTCTGATCAGCAGAGTCGTAGTAGTGAGTAAAACGATTTTCTACTATGCTCGCGTCAACGTTGGACGTTTTTTATCTTTCCCGGATGCCAACAACCATGTACAATACATCGTTCTTAAAATGACTGTATATTTTGTAAGAATGTTCTACAGTTACGATAAGACAAAAATCGACATTATAAAAGAGAAAATAATTGTTGCTTGTTGTGAAATGTTAAAAAAACAATAATCACTTTCGATATAAGCTCCAAGCACGCTAAACGGCAATTTGTAGAAATTATCTATGTACATTAATCCTAATTTTCTTTGTCATTGAGACATTTATTGTTCCATAGTAGTTACACAACAACCGAGAATGTATTCTTTCTTTTTTCATATCTGTTTACAAATTCATTTATAACAGGAACGTCTATTCTGTGGGACGTTTGAGGCGCAATGTCTCAAACAAAAGTAAGGTGGTACGTTTTTTTGCTGTAGAAATTCATTTTTCAGATGGTACACTGGTACACTCGTGAGAGATCGAACCTCCGAGGTAGTACACAACGCCTCAAATATTCGGGTGGAGATAGATGCCGCTGATGTATAGTCTTTTTTTCAATTTAAAATTATCAAAATCACATACTGCAATTTAATTTGATCTTCGTTGTATACGTCGGAAAAACGTTTTTTTGATAATTGTCTAAAAAGTACGGATTACTAGGACAATTGTGGTTACTATAATGGAAGAAAGTAACAGTTAGATCGTCATCCACCACTCTATATGAAATGATAAACTGTACTTTCTTTGCTTACGCACATTCATCTTTGTGTATCATATAAAAAACAACTAGGCGGACATGTTTGTTTGCTAGAAATTTTTCAAATGATAATTCATTAAAAATGAATATGTTGAAGTAGACTGGTTAACGACCGGATAAAGCAGCTTTGTAGACATGAATGACCTTGGGCTGCCGGCGTGGTCATATGCTACCGAGTATTTCGAATCTTGGCCTTACCCCGACACAACTTCTTAAGGCTGTGTCATATATCATTTTGTAGCCCGTGAAATTCTCTATCAAATCGTATATGAAGTAGACTGGTTACCGACCGACTAGGTAACGTTTTTGAGATGAATGACCTTGGACCGCCGATTTTGCTGAGGTGCTACCGGGTATTTCGAATTTCAGGCGACGGAATTTCAATTTGTTCTGATGGTCTTATAGACTGTTTTGTAGCCCGTGACATTCTCTATCGAATGGTGTATGAAATGGACTGGTTAATGACCGAATAATGGAGAATTTTTGACATCAATGACCTTGACCCGCCCGTTTGCTGAGTTGCTAACGAGTATTTCCAACCTTGGACTACTCGGACACAGCTTCTTAACAATATCTCATATATCATTTTGTAGCCCGTGAAATTCTCTATCGAGTGATGTATACTAGTTGATACTTCCTGTAGGGGAAAGAGTTAGGCGAATTAAATTGCTTTGGGCAATTTCGTTTAAAGCAAGAAGGTTTTAGTTTGACAAAAGGCTTCCAGGGGCGTTGGAAAGGATTTTGATTGTCTAAAAATATGATAGGTTTAATGGGCAAGAAAAACTGCATTAGATGAGTTACTGCATAATGGATTTGGTAGTGGGCCGATTTGCGGTCTTATCGTCCCCCGTCCTTTGTGTGTGTAAATTTCGAATCAGAGAAAAATTAGATGACCTTGAACTTATACGTTAGTTTAAAACCAGCTGATATTTTTCTGGTTCGAAATTTACACACACAATTTTTTACGTTGCGCAAATACCACAAAATGATAACATTGAAATTTAAGTGGGAAGAAAATGAACATGACATTCTCACAACGCAATGATTCTTCGGTGATGAGTTTATTGTATTCTTTCGTTGGTATTTAAACATTACACAAGATATTGAGTCATATCATCAGATTGATGAGTGGTCTGTTGTTGTTGCTGTATGTTCTTCTCTCTGTTCGATATATTTGCATAGATAATTTGGATCTCACTATTAAAGATCATTATAAAGTTCGTAAGAAAAGTAAGCCTTTTTTTCAGGATTGGAAGTGTACATTTAAATAAAAATTATTCTATTTCTGAAACTAGAAGCGAAAATTTAGAAGAAGAGATACACAGTAAAAAATATTGTGTCGCATTTTGTGTCGCAGTAAAATATGTCGCAGCTCCTGTGAGAGAATTGTGTCGCATAATTGTGTTGCCGTTACTAAGAACTTTCAGACACAGTTCTTGAGGTCATTTCAGGATCTGCTCTCTTCAAAAAATTGCTAAATTTTATGTTTTACTAGTTTCAGCAGTCTTCATTAGTATTTTTATCGGCTTCTTTTCAATTTTGATGTGCTATATGTGGCGCTAATACGTAAAAGATAAGAAAATTTTCGAACTTTTTAAGTGTTTCCAATTTCGAATTGGTGTTTTTAGTGGATAAAGATCCCTCTCTTGGTCTTTTTTAACTATTTTCTACGTTAAACATTTTTGCTCTAATGAAAAAGAACTAACCACAGGCCTTGACTACGCCATTAACCTCAGATCTCGGAAACTAAATATTTTGAAGACCTGTGAATATTACCGGCGGATTGAGCTTGTTGATATTACATAGAGCATCTCACAATGAACTAAAAATATTCTTAAAATCGAATAAGAGATCGAAAATACTTAATTTCTACTGTTTTCTCTATGGTAAAAATACCCAGCGGAATGTGTCGCAGCCTTAATGGAAAAAATGTGTCGCAAGTGGCTCCCGATGTCGCAGAATATGTCGCAATTTGCGACACATTATTTTTTAGTGTGTAACCAACTTTGGACGAAATTATTTTTAGTTTTTTGCATTGATAAATTGAATGTATCAGTAGTTTAAACATGAATACAAAATTTTATTGTTTAATATTCAAAATTCTAAAAAAACTAATTCATTCAAAAAACTAAGTTCATTCTTCAGGAATCTAATTCATCATTCAACATTTTGTCGCCAAGTAAGAATGTTATAATGAGCAATAACTCGACTATGTTCTTACTTGTATTATTATTTTGAGTAAAACTTATATTAAAAAGAAAAACTAATTCATTTCTGATCCCCAATTTTTTTCACACTATAGGAATACACCGAGATTGTTTCATGTTCAAGTAGATTAATATGACAATCACAAGAGTTTGTGGTTGTTTATGACTGTGATGAAGTTGTTCGGTGTAACCATTGTGATCCTCTCAGAAATGTTTCACGACTTTTTGAAAACACAATATTTTGATGTAAGACATTCTCATAATAATCGCTTGATACGTATGTAATTTCAAACCGATTTTTTAATAAAATTTCCAATATTTCCATAAGCTGCATTGTTGGCAATTCGATGTTTCCATAACGTTTTCCTTGCAATTGATCAACATAATCGGCGGATGGAAAACGTTCATATAAACCTGTACTTGTTGGAGGTGATGGTGAATACATTGGTAGTGATTCTTTTCTAATGTATGTTTCTTTCAATGTTGAAATAATCGGTTGGAGATTTGGTGACGATTGATCTTCATTCTCTTCTTCTTCATCAACTTCTTGAGTTGCGGCAAATCCACTAGCCGCAGATGAATTTCGTCGATGTTCGTCAGTAATACGAATCAAGGATGTATAGCGTTCAAACATTGTGCGTAAAATATTTAATTCCCCAAATAGTATAATACGCGATTTTATACTAAGAATATTTGGATCATCGTCGATTCGTTTAATATAGATTGCATCCGTGTTACGATGTTGAATGAAAATTGGTTCAGTAACACCAGATAGAGTACGACGGCGAACATTTAATACAGCTTCAAGATCAATATCTCCGCTTGACATGTTTCTTCAAATAAAGATTGATTTATATCATTGGAGTGAAAAATCTGAAAAATAGAAGAGAATATCAGTATAATAGATATTTTGGTTAGAAAAAAAGACTCATTGATAATGCACACATCTTCTGATTTTTATGCGAATTTTACATTTAAAATACCTCTACAATTTTCCCCAACATTTATTAAAGAATCCATGCAAAAATTCACACATAAAACTAGATTTAAAAAAAAAGACTACAAGAAAAAAACCATGTTATCTTCAGAATAACAATGAAGAGTAACATACAATATCCACGTATTGCCTTCACTATCGAGTATAAAACCACTAATTAGTGATGAAAAACAAACGCATGCTTGCAATAGATACCTCATTTAAGCAAATAAAACATATATATTGTTTTTTGTTCTAAGCTTTCAAAATATTGTTTTGTGCTCTGAAGATAATCAGTTTTGAGGTAAAAATCATATTTTCTAACCTGAAGCAAAAAGAAAACGTTAGAATCAAATGTTTATGTATCTAGTGTTTTGCAGCGTCAATAGTTGGTAATCCTCGATCGTGGGATTCTTTATTACGTAATAAAATGAATTCTTGTAATTTTGTTTTTGGACCAAAATTAGTTGAATTAGCCACGATTGAAAAGTAATGTTTATGTAATATTTCTAAAACTTCAATTAATGACATTGTTGGTACTTCTATTATACAATATAGTTTACCACTGAGACGATCATGATTTTTAACAATATTCGGATCTTCATGATGAATTACTAATTGACTTGTATACTTTTGAAATATGTCCGACAATACATGATAATCACCTACATAAAGGCAAAAGTAACGATATTAAGACTACCCTCACTCTAAAAAAAAGTCGTAGATTAATAAACTATCAAAAAGAGTTTATTAAGACCAATAAACCTTTTAAAAAACGCTTTTCCATTTTTTATATCTAAAAAATTAAAAAGCGTTCGTGACAGATGCAA